TGGCCAAGGAAGGATCGAGGGTTTCACCAACATCCGTTGTTTGCACAGTTCTGTTTTCAAATCCCTAATCACGGTGGCCTCGGATGTGGTTTATAAACCTTTTCTAAATACGTTGAAGTATCGTTTCCGGCCAGTATAAATATATATATTTTGAATGAGAATATGTTGAATGAGTCCTTTGTCTGAGTCTGGTGTCCCGTTGCAACCAAATGCTCAAGTATAGAAATATGTATGTTCCTTAAGTTGCTTTTTCTTCATGAAGCGAATAAGTGTTCGCAATCCTTATAACAAGGCGCCTAGTCATATTTCCAACGTAGCTTGCACCAAGGGCGCAAGGGAATTGATATATAACGAATTATTCGGACAGGCCTGGGAGTGTAGGCTTCAGGTGATGCGAAATCAGCAACCTAGTTTTGGAAAGCAATTTAGACTTGGTTGCTGGACGGTCGGAGTTATTGCGGTCAACATTTTTTCTGATAACCATCTCAAAAACAAAGTCCCATTTACACAAGACAATAAGCAAGGCGAACTTTTTCGGTACTGTAGTGATAGCACTGGTAGAATGGGGCAATTTAGAGGGGTTTTTAATGAAGGAGGAGTTTTATTCTCCTGAATTGTCCTCAGTATAAGCTGGGTTTCATTGTCAATTATCAATATGGTCCTGACACGCTAAAGGACGCTTCGGACTAGCTTTTACATGTATCCCAATTGCACACAGCTGAGAAAGCGGGTATGCTGACATATCAGTACCTCTTAGCATTAATTGACATGTTCTGTTGATGAAGCAATAGCACGTCCAGAAAGGCCAGCTAACCGTCAATTTTAAGCATTCTATTTGCTCAATAGAATCGGGTATAATGCACAGTGATTGGTTCTGATGTAGGCCAAATGTTAGACAGCAGATAGTTGGTCGCTGTCTTACACACACACAGATCGGTTGGGGTCACGTAATCAAACTGATGTCACCGAGTCGCCAACGTTGATGTGGACAAAACGCTACCTAACATTCGCTCACCCCGGTCGAGCCGTTGACCTATGCGTAATGCATGCAAATCCACTACCGAGTCTCCTACTATTGCTATGTCTTCAAACTCATTCGTCGGTGATCCTGAAAAGCGCATATTAGGCTCGGAAACGCTTGTTCATTTTTGTCTTGCAGTTTGTCTTATGTAGACATGGGCCCCGTGACTACATTTAATGTTTTACAGTTGCTCGCTCTAGCCATGGGGAGAGGGTCATTAGATGCACCAGTGGTGAAGGTCATTCTCATTTTGTCCCGCTTTAATACTCTCCGAATCGCCTCCAAAATTCCCTTATTGTGCGGAATACTTAGCGTCCCTATTTTCTCCGTTTTGGGTTTTAATTGTCGGTTTTGCAATATTTGGTTTTAAGGTGCCAAATGTGTTATATCCGGTACGATTGTAGGAGCACTATGCGATGCCCACGGAGCGATTTACGTAACTAAGATTATGCTAGTTTTCCGCGCTACTCGAGAGCATCCTGACTGTAATCTTCGAGGATCTACACCGAGTTCCACAGGCAAGAACATTGAACTGAAAAGTGCGAAGATTGACTTGCATAAAACGGGAGAGTGATTTTCATGGACACAAAGCTACCAGGAGTTTGACTCAATGGTGTTCGGATACACGCTTCATTCGGCGAAAGTGATTTCACGTTTTTGTAACTGTTGCGGGCCCGTAAGAAATCCCCACAAAAACGCGCCAGAAACCCCGGCAGAATGGCTGTGGGAAGCGGGGTCAAAATTCCTCCCCACAACGTAGCAGTGAGCAGCCACTCCGAGACGCGGCCCAACTACGCATCTCTGACAATGGCCTTTTACAAACTACCACCTCGTCATGGTAGAAATTTTCCCTTACTTAATGACCCATAACATTGGCTGTGCTTCGCCCTTTGTTGGTCGTAAAAGAGCCTTCCGAGGACCGCCTGTCTTTTCTTTTCTCTTCGCCTTACTTGGAAGTCGGTCGGGTCACGTGATTGCGTGTGAGTCGTTAGCTGGCCAGCCTTCGCGTCTAAGTCATTAGCACGCCTATCGTAACCCCCCCTCTCGTGTGCGCCCGTTCCGAAGGCTCAGCGTCTATCCGAACACGTGCGGCTAGGATCGTTCACACGGTCGCTCAGTTTTCCGTCTCGCCGGCTAAGCTAGCGGCATCAGGTCAGCGCAACTCCGTTTCGATTGGCCAGCGTTACAAGTCGTCATCGTAGGCGTGCTCCAACCGTGCCAGCGACAATCTTATCAGCAATTACGCAATTAGAACAGAGGCGGCGTTCCCCCTCATTTACAACAGTAACTTATCGAAAAGGTTGAGAAAATGCCTTCCACTGCGATAAATATTAGACTTGTGCTAGTCTCCGTTTCACTCCACCGTGAAATGACTCGCTAACCTTATAGAAACCATCACAAAGTTCTATTTTAAACGCAGTCTCAGAGCTACTTTAATCGTCATGGACCCCCTAAGCCATATGCAATTAACTGAAAAGCAAATGTTTTCTTTGAACGTAGTGTCACTTATAAATAAATAAATAAATAAATTGTATATTCCTCGACTATGCGAGAAGCTGTTCTCTATAAGGAACAGATCAAATAATGGTACAACTTTTCCATGACATTTCATCAATACATTTTCAGAGATAAACATGGATGCAATTGCAAATTATGTTACACAGAGTAATCAGAATCGTTCTGCTATTTTTACCTGCCTCTGAATCAGGATTCTTTACAATCACATGATAGATATTTGGGCCGAGAGAAAAAAATGTAATGAAAGGGGCTGTTGTCCGAACTGTTATGTGTATGCGTTTCAGAAATTTATTCAGACACCATGGATACCGTTTTCGAATGCGTTATCTAGGGACTGTGATGTCCCGAACATCTTAATCACGTTTTGGACGGTTAAATACTTACTAATAGCAAGCTTAAAATTGCAAAGAGTATAGCATGTTCTGATATCACTTGGAAGTTTGTTCCAAATCTTTGAGTATTGGGTTAGAAAGAAACGTTCTCTGATTCTCGTAGAAAATTTTGGAATCATGACCTTTACCTCTTTGTTACGTATTGGGTATCTGTTGTTTACAGATATGTGAACACCGCTTTCAGGACTGCGAATTTGACAATTTATGATTCTGTACAGAAAACATAGGTTCAGCTTCATTATCCGAAGCCAAACTGGGTCAAATCCAAGTGTATCGCATCGTTCCTTGTATGTCAACTTTGAGGAATATCCGCATAGCTTTTTCGTGAAGCGTCTCTGAACCCTCTCAAGAGCGTGCTGGTCAGACTTCCGTAGATTAGACTGTATCATTGAACAGTATTCCATACACGGCAATACATATGTTTTGTAAAGGGATATGCGAGATTCCGTGAGGTAAAAATGATGGCAGATATAACCAATGGTCTTCATGGCTTTCGAAACTTGGAAGTCACAGTGTTCAGAAAAGTTAAACGTAACTGAATATCGCACGCCCAAGTCGCGAATTGTCCTGCATTGCAAGATATAGGCACCTTGTAGTAATAAACTGTCTGGCGGTACTTGGCATTTGTACGACAAAATATTACACTTGTCCACGGCAAATGACATCTGCCACAGTTGGCACCAGGAGTCAAGGGCGGATAGGTCATCCTGAATGAGACGTACGGCTTCCTGAGTATTTGCACGTGGTTGTGAGTAGACAACTTTAATGTCATCAGCAAAGATAAATGCAACACCATTTCTTATTCTCTGGAATATATCGTTAATATAAATTAGAAAAAGAAGTGGACCAAGAACACTCCCTTGAATCACTCCACTAGTGATTGCTTTCGGTGTAGAGAAATGGTCGCCTATGCGCACAACCTGCTGTCTACCAATTAGATATGAAGACAGCCAAGAGAACATCGGTTCTCTAATGCCTATAGCCTTCAGTTTTTCCAGTAACCTTCTGTGAGGCACTCTATCAAAGGCTTTTTGCATATCCAGGAACAGGATTACGACACTGTTTCCGTTGTCAATGGCAGCCGTTGTGTGGTTTAAAAAGTCAGTCTGGCATGTTGCACAGGATCGACCTTGCATGAAGCCGTGTTGCGAATTGCTGATAATGTTAGCTTTGTTCAAGAATATAAATAGTTCATCTTTTACTAGCCTTTCCATTATTCTAGATATGATGGGTGTGTGATTTATGGGACGAAAGTTTTTAACATCGTGGGCAGCGCCATTTTTATGTCGCGGGATAACAACAGAAGTTTTCCATTGAGTAGGGTATACTCCGTTGTTAAAAGAGAGTGTAAAGAGGTTGAGCAAAAGCAGAAGGAAGTCACTACCACTGCGTTTTATTAAACATGGGGGTAGCCCATCAGGGCCTGCGCACGTTGAGGAGTATAAGCGAGCGACTTGACTAGTGATTTTCGCTATAGTAAATTCTACTGTGCATAGACCTTCATTATTTTGCGGCGTGATAAACGTTGGTGTATCTGATGATTCAGTGAGCATTGATTCGGCAAATAAGCACCGAAAGCTTCGCAGATATCATCTGGTGCGTCGTAGTATGTTCCATCAGGCGTGATGATAAAACTGAGATTGTCACTGCAACGCGAACCCCGGGCACAGAATAGTTCGGCTAGCTCAGCTGTTTTGCTAGGGCCATTCAGAGCTTTATACTCATCTAGAATGAGTAATGAGTAATGTGGAGGCTGATTAGCGTGTACACGGATCATAAACCGCTCGGATAAATAGCCAGCAAACCATTAACTAGTGTTCCTCGATTTTTTGACAGGATACTAATCCGGCTCCAAAAATACGACATGGATCTTGTGCACACCCCGGGGACGCAAATGTTCATCCCGGATGTTCTGTTCCGAACTCATCTTCCGATAGCCGAATACCAACAAAAAGAAATCGAGACAGTAAATCTGGCACAACATCTGGAGGTAGCGGAAGATTACCCGAAGTACATAAAACGTCATATGGAGGCAGCTGTGACATGCGTGTCATTGCAATATGTGGTTTTGAGTGAATGGCCAGATACCAAGGGAAAACTTTCAAAGGAAGTAACGCTCTTTCTCTACTCTCGGAATGAACTCACGGTAGGACGACTTGCCATTCAAAAGAAATCACAGTTTGACCCCACTGCCGTTTCGCAAAGAGATGATAGGACATGCTCATCGAGTCCATTTGGGTGTTAACTAAACCATTGTCAGAGTACGCAAACTGATGTTTTGTCCCGGGATGACGAGTCCAATCCGAGATCTAGTAGCAAGCTGTTCAATCTACCGGTCACACGACGCTAGCCAAGCCAGCGAACCAATGATACTGCGCGAAATCCTAGATCGACCATGGCAAAATTTGCAGTTGACTTGTTCTGTAACAACGGGAAAAACCGCTTAATCACTGTGGACTATTACAGTGACTATTTTGTGATAGATCCACTAAGGGCTACCTCCACGAAGTAATCATCAGCAAACTTACATGTCAATTCGCCAGGCACGGAATACAGGAGGAACAGATCTCTGACAATAGTCAGCAAATTACAAGTGCTGCGTTCAAGGCTTTCGCGAACAAGTAAAAATTTTCGCATCGACAAACCGTATCCCATTTAGCTTAACGGAAAAGCGGAGGCAGCGGTCAAGGAAGCTAAGAAGCTGTTAGCGATGTCTAGAGCCAATCATGAAGATCCGTATCTAATGCTGTTGGAAATTCTCAAGACGGCTTCACTGAACTGCAGTCTCATTGCAGTTCAACGTTTGTACAGCAGAAGGACAAGAACCCTAATGCCTGCGTCGGTGGAACTTTTACACCTTGCTTTGCCGTCTCATGAGAAGCTGCAAAGGAATTTAAGAAAACGGATGGCCGAGCGAAGCAGTATTATAACTGCGGGACTCGGGCGCTTCCTGAGCTATCAGTAAATGTGGAAGCATGGATCCAACCAATACCGGGTGTCGGCTAGTAATGGAAGAAAGGTGTAGTGACTGCAATGGTCTTATGAAAGCAATACTGGAGGGAAGGTACTCAGAAAGAATCGAGTGGAGCTGAGACGACACCGAGAACGAGAAATTGAATCTGCAGCAAAGCATTTGACGGCCATAGGAGATGTCGCAACGACAAGGGCAACCAAGACTGCTCGGAGTGGAAGATTTTACGGAGTACGCAGCGAAACTGATGCGGCTGCTCTCGGAAGAGGGGAAGATATGATGGGATTGTGTAAGTATAAGATCGATATAGATTTATATGGTGAAGCTTTCGACTCATCTGCCGCAAGCGAACAGTACAGTTGATTGAACTCATAGGCATATGTCGCTCACGCGCTGATTCTATCCTATTTGGCTATGCTGGAGTGAGTCTGTTTGACTGATTCATAGAAAGAATCTTATGAATTTAGAAGCGTCGTTAGTTATGGTAAGTAGCCATTTATTTACATCGGGGTTTCTACACGCTTGTTTTGCTGTCGATTTTGCTGAGCTTGCTTTGTCGAATAAACATGTCTCGTATGAAAAGCAAATGCGAATCATGTGCTAAAGTGGTGAAAAATGGTCTGGTGTGTACCATGTGTTTGAAATCCTATCACACTACCTGCCTTGCGAAGAAGTCGACGCAATCAAACACCGCAGAGTCGTTTTGGTTCTGCCAAGTATGCAAGCCTATTGCATTTGTTAGCTGTCTATCTGTGCTACTGAAGAGGTGTGAAAGACTAACCGAAGCGGTCGAGCAACTGGTGAGCGCCAGAGTTACACCCATGGGAGGAAACGGACCTGCACTTGTGAGTGAAAATAACACCCCGAACTCACTAGTCAGGCCGAAGAAGCTAGCCTGGCGTCCCAACCCAACCCAAACGACTCAGCCTCCAGCAGTATCAACTCCATTCCCTCTCCCTCCTATAAGTAAAAACAGTGCCTGCAGCGCGCCTGCCTCAACTTCTGTACTGTGTGCTGCATCTAGTAGTCTGTTCACTACACTCGAGACTGTAAGCTTCAGTCAACCAGCAATGGTGAACAACCCGGCAACGTACGCATCGGTTGCCGCCAAGCAAACACCGGAAAGAGCACCAGTAACCTTTGTGCCCGAACTGCCGCAGCACGGATGGCACACACCAAGGCCTTTCATAAATTCAACAAAAACACCAGAAACTAAGCGTCGAAATCCAAAACCAGTAGCCACCAGGCGCGACCATGGTGTCCTAAACATTGTATGCACAACTGTCCCCGAATCCAAATCCAATACAATTAAGGGTAAGTTGACGGACGATCGAAATCAGTGGGATTCCATCTGTAAGTCGATCGGTGTCCGTGCTAATCCCACGAAATTAAAAAGAATCTCGCGCCACCCAAACGCGTTGCACTACGGCGAACCCCGGTTACTTCGGGTAACACTAAACTCAGCAGACGAGACTGAGGCCATTCTGTTGTCTGCGAATCGTCTCCGCAACGACTCAAGTGGAGTGCGCATACTACCCGAAATCCCGTGGAAAGAACGTTCAGCGGATCCCGCCAACAAAGATAGGTACAGAATAAGTCAATATAAGAAAACAGTGATTGCTCACGGTGTTCCTGAGCTTGCTGACTCCTCTTCCGACGATGCTCAGATGCACGACCGCGAGCAATGGCACTACCTCCGGCAGGTTCTTTCTCTCGAAAATGTGGTGGTCACCTCGTTGACAATGATCCCCATATCACCAAACTATAAAGGGTGCGGTTCCAGACTCTTAAAACTTGTGTTACATTCAGAACAAATGGCACAAACCGTACTAGCTAACTGGGTCAAATTCCGTTGCAGATTATCAACAGAAATTCGTCTGAAAGCAGCAAGAACACCAACACCTTTTAATGACAATTCAGTAGAGACACAACTCTTGATGTAAACGCCAGCTGCAGGACCCGACTCGGGGACGGTTTCAAGAGTAGCCATACTATCCGGAGGGGCACAGCAGAGCACGAGCAAACAACGGGATTCGGAGCATCTGATACCTGCTTATATATCAACTACTTCTCGAGAGTATGCAACCCATCCAAAAAACGATTAGTAGCCGACCCTTTAATGGTCGGCGTAAACTCATTTGTTTCATCCACCCATCCAGTCGCCGGCCACTCACTGCTCGGCGAAACTTCAAGTATGCGTTGTACAACTTCTGAAACATTGATTAAATCTGAGAAACTTTCATGTATATACACCAACGCCCAAGGGCTCCTCAGTAAAATTACCGAACTTCGACTACGTCAGGTTGAGAATGCTTGGGACCTAATTTCTATTACCGAAACTTGGTTGCATCAAGAGGTGACTGATGCTGAGGTTGAGATAGCCGGAATGTCACTCATCCGGAACGACCGCCCCAGCAGAGGAGGTGGGGTCCTACTCTACTACCGCAGCGATCTACAATGTACAATAGTTGAGGACCTGGAAACACACGTTACCGACTCACTCTGGTGCCGTCTCCGACTGAGACACAACGATACATGTCCCATAGCTATCGTTTACCGTCACCGAACGTCCACTCTGGAAATGGATTCCTGCTTGATCCGTAGCCTAAACAGAGAAACACGCACTAGGTACAGCCACACTCTCATCTCCGGGGACTTCAATCTACACAATTTGGAGGTGTCGGCATCGCCCAGTGAGCAGTTCAAAGCAGACTTGTAGGAACTGATCTCTAATATTCCTTTGTACAATCATGTCACCACGCCCACTAGATTCAGGACAGCAAACAAACCGTCCATATTGGACCTTGTGCTCACAAATGAAGAGCTCATGATTGACAAGTTATTGATGGATAGTCCATTAGGTCTCAGTGACCACGTAGTAATAACTTTTGACTATGTGTGTTATGCAAAGTATCCAGCTGAACACTCGGAACTAACTCATACAATCACACGCTACCACGTATTGAAAGAACTCGCCGACGCAGCTGCTTGGGAATTCTCAAACAAAATTCCCCTTGACGACGTTTGGGCAGAGTTCGTTAATAAGCTCAGCAACATCGTCAACAAAGCATCAGAGACCAAACCCCTTCGTCCCGCGAAAATGCCTTCAATTATAAGGAATAGGACTCGCAAATGCCTGGCGATAAGGGATGCAGCATGGCGTGCTTACAAGATTAACCCCGACTCAGAGACTTGGGGAAATTTTCTGACCCATCGCATCCATTGCACCGCACTTATCCGTGAGGACAAAATAACTTATCAACAGTGCCTAGCCAAAAAATTCATGGCAAACAACAAACTGCTGTATAAGCATGTCAATAAGCTTCGTAAAGTGAAGCATGGAATACCCCCACTATTCACGACAGGCGGTAGAGTACAAAGCGCCGAAGAAGCAGCTAATGCCCTGCGGCTGCAATACGCCCCAATTTTTGAACTCGCAACATCTACGTGTCCCATAATATCAAGCTCATTACCGACACCTTTGTTTACAAATGTTATTTTCAACCCATCAATTGTGCTAAGGAAGTTACTCTCACTGCGTGAACATAGTTCTCCGGGAGCAGACAACATCCGCCCGAAGGCACTGAAGGCTGTGGCCACCAAGCTAGCTGAACCACTGTCACAGTTCTTCCAAAGGTACTCTGATGAACAACGAGTCCCCACTATGTGGAAGTGTGGCATTATAACCTCCATTTTTAAAAGCGGTAGCCGTTCCGATCCTGCAAACTATCGTCCAGTGACTCTCCTCCCTGTGCTCGCGAAGGTTGTGGAAGCAGTCGTCGCTGAGGGTTTAATGGACTAACTGGAAAAATGCAACATCTTGGTACCGGAACAGCATGGCTCCCGTGAAAACCGGTCATGCACCACCAACCTACTGATTGCACGAGGTAGTTGGACGGAAGTGGTCAATGATGGGGTCGGAGTCGACGTCATCTATCTGGACTTCTCCAAAGCTTTCGACCGCCTTGATCACCGCATCCTACTTCAAAGACTACAAAGTTACGGAATCGGAGATCCTGTACTTGGTTGGATTGGCAACTTCCTTTACCAAAGAAAGCTCCAAGTACGTGTTAGGGGATCACTTTCTAACCCAATTGAGGTGGAATGTGGTGTCCCGCAAGGCTCAGTGCTGGGACCGCGTTTATTCCTGGTGTTTATCAACGACCTGGCAAGAGTCATCTCCTCAAACTTCCTGCCTTTTGCCGATGACGTCAAGATATGGCGGGCGATCATTAACAAGCCAGATCACAATCTGCTCCAACATGACCTAGATTGCATTTACGAATGGTCAAAGAGGAGCAAGCTTCAATTGAACATGGATAAGTGCAAAGTGATGCATCTGGGTCTCCAGCTGGTAAGCGCTTACAAGATTGGAGACCACACCTTGGCGAAGGTTTCTCAGGAGCGGGACCTGGGTGTATTGATACAGGAAGATCTCGGGTGTTCAAAACAAGCAGAGAAGGCGAGGAGAACCGGAAATCAACACTTCGGCCTTCTTCGCAGAGCCTTCGGTCTGTTTGAACTCTCAATATTTCCCCAAATGCTTAACGCCTACGTGCGACCTCACGTGGAATATGCTATTCAGGCGTGGCAGCCGTGGCAAAAACAGGATCTCGTTGCTCTCGAGACTCCTCAACGACGGGCAACCAAGAACGTCAGCGGCCTCTTTCATCTGCCCTATCAGCTTAGACTGAAATCTCTAAGAATGTACAGCAGTCGATATCGGCTTTTGCGGTGGATCTCATAATGGTTTACCAGATTCTGAAGAACCCAAACCACATTTGCCGTCCGCTGCTGGAATTGAACCATAACACTAAACTAAGAGGTCACCCTCTGAAACTGACAATTCATTATAGCCGGCTTGAATGCCGTAGAAATTTCTTTTCTCTCCGCGTGTGTGAGCCTTGGAATGCCCTCCCTAATTATGTCGTCTCTGCTCCCAATCTGGCGATATTTAAAAAACGTGTTGACGATGCATTGTCTCACTTACATTTCATTTTATGACTTGTTAGCCAGGGGCTACAAAACGCAATCAAACGGTGTCTTGCCAAACGCCTAACCATTGGATTTATGGATTTATACGTTTAATATGCGAACATCTCCGCTATTCCACGTAAGTTTATGGTGAGTCCACCACAACGCTTTTCACTTTATTATGCAATTTATTTTCGCAATAATTTCCATCCCACGGGACTTGTTAAGCGATGCTTTTTTACCCGTAATAAACCATTGTCCATTGTTCACTGTCCAAACCGTCTATCCCTGAAGCACAGAGTTTTCCGACAGTTTGTTTATGACACAATTTTAACTTTTGAGCTGTGTTCAAATGTTAACCTTTTGCTGAGCTCAGCAACTTATCTGAGTCTCATTTCGTCAAGCCTCAACGACTTCAAAGCTGGTCATGATATTTGAATGAAGGGCGAAATCACTGATTCCGAGATCGCTTTATCAGGCATGTCCATCCTACGTGAAAATGGACCAAATGGGGGAGGGGTTGTGTTCTAATAAGCTCAGTCGCATCGACCTACCTTTCAAACACAAATAGTCAACATGGTCTGGGGCGCGCTGTCAAATCAAAATATAACTACTATCTTTTATGTGCAAATTCCTTGCTTACCAGTAGTACACGTGAACAACTTGAATTTCTCACCTAGTATCTTTCCGGTCAGCAAAGCCCGCTCCAACGGCTCACCGAATTACAACCTGCCCTGCAAGCAATAAATGACAAATAACAAACGGCACAGCGGACTCCGATTTCCGGCGAACCCTTATTTGTCACAATCGTCAATCCCTGTTACTCGACATGATTTTGCCCAACAAACATTGATTCGCCCAGCATTTTCGACATCGGAAGTTTACATTATCCGGCCTTCTAAGACAGAGCCCTGTAGCGCCCCGAAAGATAACTACCACCTTGTATGTGCAAATTCATTGCTTACCAAATGTACATTAATCTGTCATGTCTTAATTTCTCTTACATTCGGTTCGACATCAGTCTCTCTGTAAGTTACCGCGCTAACGTATGCTCACGCCGTGCTTCATCCTTCCACATCTTTTGTAGCCTATCGAATATAGTCCGCTGTGCCCGACATCAATCGCCATCTGATATTCGCGCTCGATTACGCGCACCGTCTTGGACTAGTACTTACCAGTCCTAAGCCTGCAACTAAGACTGGATGAAACATGTATAGCGAACATCGTGTACATTTTCCGATGTCCACTCTAGAATTGAATAGCTATCTAGCTTGTGTTTCCATAGCCATTTTTAACGCATTACATCCCGTTCACCGTGTGCAAACCTCCAACTTGCACACTGGTATTACCACCTGCCGTCGATTGGCCGAAATGTAGGTGTTAGTGGTTGATCTACCAACTCATAATCACCTTGCTTCCTCTACAAGATTCCGATCGAGGAAAGAGCCGGATTTCTCAAATCTCATGTTACCCATGAGATATAATCAACAGAGTAACAGTGAGCAGTCGCTTGGGCCGCAGATATCATGCACCACTGCTTTTCCACGACGCATTCTTCTGCGTCTACATGATGTTCACACAATGTGCTAACCAGCTGTTTCCATTACGTAAGCATACGAAATCCACATTTGTATGCCTGTAAACAGCTTGGTCAGTACACCGTTATCCGAATTACGTTTCTTGTTACTGTTATTTTGGGAGCTGTAAGAATCGCCACGGCCATTTTACGGCACTTGCTTTCTCACTCTGATTATGTCGTTTCTCCATTATTCCTGTGAACCGTTGCCTCAATCGATTTTGTCTGCATCTAACGGAGGAAGTGCTTTCCCCTTATGCAAGCCGAGGAAAGATGTGGTCCCAACTCAGCAAGTGTATCTTCTTCATTAATCGACCGTCAGTGAATGCCTTGGTGAAATGGTTGGTACCACCAGGTCATTAGCACAATCACTCAGAGAGTCATCAGCATCGCTTAGGTATGAAGGAACCCGATCCGTTGTGTTTGGATTCCTGACCTAACAGATGTAATCTCATACTAGAAACATGTGCACCAACCAGATATGATCATGCAAGCTTACCTGCGACATATTCGAAGGTGTATGTTCACAAATTACGTAGTATAAGCGTCTGATCTGAGTGGTCCTTGGAACAAAGACGAACATGCGGTCCGGCCTTGTGGAATTGCGCCACGATACGGAAGACTCAAGAGCCACGTCCAACCACCTGAATCTTTGAATCGGACCATCTGAACGGCAATGTGGACTTTTCGCATTTGAAATGGGGTAAATGGTAACCATTGGCGGTCCCGAACCGGCCATTGTGTTGACACACGTGAGGAGTTGGCCGAATCGCAGTGTCAATTTGCCATTGAGAGGAGAAGGGTAAAATTTAGCACGTCACCGCCTTGCTCCACACATATGTGTACGGCCCGTGATCGACGAGACAATTGCCTTTGGCGTAAAGCGAACTCGTCCTCCAGTCGACTCCAATAAGCAGGACGTCCCATTGGTGGAATCGCTAATTCCGGATGTAATACACACGTCACGTATGCGTCCCGCAACAGCGTGGTAGCGGTCATCTTCCAGATTTTAACCGTACGGTTTGCGTACACATTCAACTGCTCAAACGCATTGACGTCAGAATTGAGTTCGATTACTCGATATGACTTCGAGCTTGTCAACAAGTGTAAATAAGCACTGAGTCTAGAATGCATACTTCGATACCCATGAGCGATACTATCCGCCTGCTCACAAAACAGCTGCATCCTGGACCCGGCACAGCGGAATCAGGAATTCGTCACCCTCACTGAGACATTGGTTCGTGGATGCACCGCTACTATTCCTTATCCGATCAATCGGAGCCACTGGCCTTATGATTGTTGGTATAATACACAACGGCGTGGAGCTAATCTTTGACACATTTATCAAGTCACCTCTTGGTCGCAGAGGCTGAAGCGTAGTAGTGCATCCATAGAAGCCGTAATCATCGCACGGCCACCACGCCAATATCCAACGTATGTGATGAGGGCCACTTTCGCTCCGGATAACTGACTAATCTCTCCGATATGTTCCCTCGCACAGACAATATCCTGACACGTCTTTCCACCAGAGAGAATTGCACAAGCTTTTCCACGTCCGATGGTTGTGGATTGGGAGCATATGGCTGTCTAATCCGGGTAATTTGCAGTGGTCGATAAGCTGAAAATGCATCTCCATCGAGTTGTGGACATCTGGCAGACACAGACACAGGCAAGACGATAAGTGAGAATTCTAGCATCACGTCGCTCTCCTGGTTTTTCAGTCGCCATGGGATCAGATGCTTAACTGACTGGCTACGTGCGTTATACCAGGCTTCCTGTGACACATCTCCATGGGTGGTCCATGCATATCCAATATCATGTAGACCTGCGGGAATCGCAGCCTCCAAGTCCGCAGTCGACAAACCATCCTCACTATTGTCTGTGTCTAATCTGGCCTGTCTACAGCAATGTTTTTTGTGCGTTGGTGTCACTGATTGGCGTGAGTGCTGTCGTCCAAGCGGATCCCAACGGAATCTGCCACTTTGCCTGTCAAACTTCCATTTCCAATTGATCCATGACGCACGATCGGTCTGATCGTAACGAACCACTGGATACCGTTTCCTGCGGGTTATACCACGTTCAAGTTGTCGGCGATATCCGTTGATGTGTACATCTGGAGTAGTCGGTTCGAGCTGATAATCTACCTCCCGTGATCTCCACCTTCTTTGCCGTTCTGGTTCCATTTTACGCCCGTCCAAACCCAACCCCACTCGCCGTTCTTGATCGCTTTGTGACAATTCACTCGACATTGCCGTTCGACTGTGCTCATACAGTCGTTCCAAGCTGCTAGGAATGTCACCATAGTGGATTCGCTTCCTTGGATGCTGTTGGGTTGTGTCCCATTTGTCGGGGAGGTGCCAAACCACGTCTCTAGATGAGTGGGAAGGCTGTGTACGCCCAACACGAGCATCTGCGTGAATATCACTTTGTTCCAGCACATCCACGCTCCTCAGGTTTCCTGCAAACGCGACCTCCTGTGCGCGTTCCTTCGACCATGTGGATACCACACTGTACATGCTTGAATTGTTCACGCGCGGTGGTTTGGCAGTCCTTCTAATCTCTCCCCTTCGTCTTGACGCTACCAGTTCTTCAGCAGCAGGCAACTCCCTTTGGATACCACCACCCATATTTTCTAACCGATTCACTAATCGATACTCATCATCAAATGCACTACGCTGTGGGTGCGCATGGCGACGAAGATGGGGCGCTCTAAGTTGTGCCGCAACAGTAAAATGGCGTTTAGCAAACGATACAACAGAAGGATGTAGTTCATATCCTTGTCTTCGATGAACGGCATCGAATGTCTGCCTCTCGGTTGTATCCTCCTCTTCCGCTGTACCTGCATAATGCAGTGTCGAAGCATCTCCTTCAATTTGACCCTTCCGTGTGGCTTGCTGAAGTTTCCGAAACTGAGTTCGCTGGTCCGTTCTAGAAAGTGAAAATTCGTTGCGCTTGTTTTGATCTGCGATGGCGATGTGTACCTTTGGTGATGGTATCACTTTGAGCCGTTTGTCAGTTTGAAACAAAGAGGGAGCACGTAACTCGTCAGGAATCGTCTTGTCCTCTACCTCGTCCATGTGGTCATCGAGAGTATCGATCTGTTCCCATCTCTCAAGCTCATCTAGGCTCCCTGTATCGTTTGACTCCAATTTACCTGATGTGACGTCCTGAAAAGATGTCTCCAGAAACCCATTGGGATATTACTTGGCGATGACCGTATAGCTCGTCAAAATCGATTAGGTTCATCAGTAGATGTAACTCCTGACAAGCAGCTACGATCTGCTTGAAGGTTTTGCATCAGGCTTTCAGTACCTTTCTCTCGCACAACATTCACGTAAATTGTGACCGTGACAGAAGCGCTCATCTTCTCATACGAACATTCACAGGTAGCAATGCAACGAAACACGTAGTGGCCACTTCGGTTCAACTGTAGAAGAGAAAGTCTGTTGTCTAGACTACTTAGTGTCTGCACGTTATCGTATGACTCGGGTCCGATTTGTGGGATCGGACCAGCCACCCAAATCCATCTTATCGCAGCATGTTCACAGCCACCCCGGGCCTCACAATAAATGCTGTCATGCACTCCGTACTCTTTTCTGCCACTCGGGCTCCATTCCACTTCAGGTGCACCACAATCAGTCCTCGCCGGACGAATCGTTTTATTCGTGGTTATTGTGTCATCTGCGAAATGGCACACAAAGTCGTTGACAAAATTTACACTTGTCACCGTTACGTGCGCACATATCTCACCCAGGACAACTCCATGTGGATGAATGACGCGTAGGCGCTCGTTGTGCAGCGCTTCGCTCTGACCGCCGGTCGACACTTGAAAATGCGCAATTTTTCTTCCAGCAGGATTGGTTGACCAGACGGAACACCTGAACTGTGCCACTTGTCCTAATTTTGTTGGCGGAGAGGCCTGTGCCCACAAGTTTCTCACGTCCTGCAATCGAATTCCAAAAGATATATGCTTGGACTTGCCGAGGATCCGCTGCTTGATGATGTGCGTTCGTAACGTCGTGTTCTCCAAGGTCGTGCCGGTGCAGAAATATTCCGCGTTATCGAATTCCTGGAATGCAAATGGAATCCGAATGAACCGTACAATCCGTGAGCTTTGTGCCACATAGCAATGCTAATGACACTGGATTCATATGCATTTTTGATCGTGACCACACGACCACATGCGTCCCTTAATGCAATGTACACTTGCAGTACGATGGAACTTTTGGAACTTGGTAGGTGTTGTTGATGTACCTACACACGTATTATGTAAGTGCTACAGATCAGGCACATCTTTGAATTTTATGTAAGTACCGACCGATAACGAGAGAGAATGATTCCGTTGAATTTATGGTCAAAGCAGGGTAAGATTCCTACCTTGTTAACTAACCTGTGCTGATGATGACTTACTGGGTTAGCTGTAGTTTTATAACGACAGTCACATCCATCTGTGCCAGAATCCCCAAGTGCTGAATCTATTTTGTTAAGAATGACAAGTAAGCTTAGCTTAATGGAACCGACCTGCAATGATCAACACCGTACCTCCCAGTGAACATTTGTACAAAATCGTTCATAATGAACACTTAGTTTGATAAGCTACGATAATTGTGAAAAGACCGTGTATAACTAGGCTTGTTCATTGGGCTTACATATGTTGGCATCTCCATGTGTACGAAGCAATTGACTACGATCGTCTATCAGTTTGCCACTTATTGTGTTGGATTTGGATTCAGGAACGTTAGTGCACACAAGACTTAAAGCACCATGATTCCGCCTTGTGGCTCGCGACTTAAGAGCATTAGCTTCTTGTTTTTTATGGATTTATGAACCGCACTGCTGATAGCGATCCATGTTGAGGCACAGTTTTGACCTCTCCGGTAAGTGGAGTCACAGGTGTCATTGACGGCGGTTTCCTAGAATCAACCGCTGCGTTGGATGTCCAGTTATTATTTACCGTGGGCTTGCTAGAGTTTTGTGTTTCGAGTATGTCAGCTGAATTACTAGTTATTACACCCTTGGAGAACGTGGAAGCAAGTGGGTTGTAAACGACTTGTTCACTTAGTGGAGTCATGTGGCTAGGGGCCCTTGGAGACTGAGACGCCATGGTGAGGTTGGGACGCCAGGCCCTCTTCTTCGGCCTAAAAGGGGAGTTTGTAGGTGTCCGTTCAGTTCCAAGTATGGCATTGTTTACTTTCACAGATGCGTTGCCAGCGTTCACCAGTTGCTCAACTGTTTCCCCCAACTTTTCACACTTTTTCATTAGGAAAATTACACAACAAATAACAGGGATGGGTTTGCACAACTGGCAGAACCAAAATGCTTCGGTTTTGCTGCTGTATTGTATAGTTTCGAGTGCACTCATCCCTAAACACTTCGAATGGTACGCTTTTTGCCAGTTAAAGCAAACTAGACCAGACTTAACGATTTTACACATAGTTCACAATTGACTTCCGAATGGACCATATCCACTTGAGGCGTGTACTTTGGTATTGTGACTTGCAACAATTCCAAAAGGGATTAGATAGAAAAGGAGAGTTCAGAATCTATGCTGTAGATATCTCACTTACCACTAGCCTAGAATGGAATAATTCTACTAATATATGTGATCATGGTCAGTAGGGGGGCAGCGAATTAGTAATGACCGCAGATGGTGGTGATATGGTGTAAAGATTTCCCGCTAACAAGATGGAATGGAGTAACTGGATGTGTACACTACAACAAGGGTAGCAAAAGGATAGAGATACTGACCCACCGTGTAGGACTTCGCTTCGATTTTCGTTGCGTGGCGATCGGCGCTGGTTTGAGGTCAGGGGTCAGAAGTGTCACGTCCAGATGAGTCACACGTTTCTTAGGGTAGATAAGCGACGTGCGTGCTATTGATCCAGCCGGTAAGTGGATAAGCAGCGATGCAGCGTAGGATTGAGACAAAGCAGGATGACTTGGAAAATACTGTCTAATGACTACAGTGGCTGCACCAAAGGCGGACCAAATTGACAACTATCGCTTTGTACAGCGACTAGAAGGAGTGGTAGTAAGATGTTCGGGTGACTCTCAAAACGATCTTTAAGACCACTAGAGTTCTTGTGCGACGAGAGGAAAAATAACTTCTCCGATGATATTCACGTACGGTTTAAGTTCCTGTTCAGATGGGACTGGAACGATAGGAGAATCCAGTGAGTGTTCCAGTTTGAGTGGATCGTTGCGCCAGGAATTGGTGAAGTGCTCAGTTCTTGGTGGATCGAAAACGGAACACCCGTATCGCACCCTGGCCAACCAGTTAATGCCAACGTTTCCTGCCCTAGCAGTCCCTGCTGTGGCAATCACGTGAAGTAAGCAAAGGATAAGGAGAGAAATCGAAGGTACAGAATGAGGAAGTACAGTTGAAATAAGAAAAGAATAGCGATGCGTGCAGAAAAGTAGAGAAAAGAAAATTGAAACACGATGATGTGAGTTACTCAGGAAAATGGAAAGGTTTCGTGTTGCCATCTAAGAGCGTCAAGTTGCTGCTCAAACCCCTTAATCGTAGATTCCATGATAACACAATCCGGAAGCATGTTCCAGCGCTCGATGTCTCTGCGTGACAGCCGGATTTCCGCCCTAATCCGATCGAACCGCTGTCTGTGCAGCTTCGAGGAGTGACCGCGTAGAACAGACAATCCAGCGGGACTGAATAGCTCAGATAAATCTGGACCAACCTTTCCAGTTAACATACGGTATGTTAGGATTAGGTCTCCTCTAAGCCTTCAGTAGTGCATTGAATGCATTCTCAAACTAAGTAGACGCTCGGGGTACGTCCGTCCCCGTAATCCCTCGACTAATCTAGTACCCACTCCTAAAACCCTCACTAGCTCCATTTTGTCCCTGACTTCAAAATTCCATAAGCACAGTTTGCTGGTGATCCGCATTGATCTCGTCGATGATCAGGATGTTCAGATTGTCGATGCTTTTCGCTGCCGTCTTCACCTAAGCCGTGGGGACGCATGTTGGTTGGGTGTAGTGTATCGCCCTCCGTCCGCTACTTTGGAAATGGGCAACCGCCTAGCCTCTACAATGAAGACCATTCTCTCGCAGTCGTACAGCCACATCCTCCTGGTTGGTGACTTCAATATTCATACAATAGAAACCTCAGCCTGTATAAATGAACACTTAAAAATTGAAGTACAAGAGACACTTAGTGGACTACCACTCCACAATCACATTATATCTTCCACAAGATTCAGGATGGGAAACAAACCGGGTGTCTTAGATCTCGTATTCACCAACGAAGAGCTTATGCTCGAAACGGTATCGATAGAGAGTCCTTTAGGCCGTAGCCACCATGCAACCCTCATGTTTTATTACATATGTTATGCAGAGTATTCCTCAGAAAACACCGAGGAGTGTCAGCTCATTACGGATTACGGCGCTCTAATTAAAATAATAAATGCTACAAACTGAGCATTTCTTGCAGAACGATCCCCCGATGTCGCCTGGTGTGAATTTGCTCACCAGTTCAACACGTTAGTAACTAGTGCTTCTAGGAAAAGACCTTCGCGAACAAAGACAGTAAAATCATTCATACGCAGCAGGACACGCAAGTGTATCGTCACGAGGGATTTACGCTGGCGAAGATACAAGGAGTCATCGAGTGCCGAAACATGGGAAGCCTACACTATACAAAGAAACCACTGCGTAAACCTAGTGCGCGAAGATAAAATACAGCACCAACGGAACCTGGCTGAGAAAATCCATTCAAACCCCAAGCTCCTGTACAGACACATAAACAAGCTCCGTAATGTGCAGCGAGGAATTCCTGCCTTACAGACTTTATGTGGACTCGCACAAACCTCAAACGAATCGGCCAACGCCCTAGGTCAGCAATTCGCCCCGAACTTCCAGAGCACGACATCGCCGCATACACTGTTCCCGATGGTATTACCACCACCGGGACTTAGCCACACTGTGTTTACGAGTGCGGATGTTATGAAAAGGCTAATTGCCCTGCGCGAGCATACCTCACCCGGCGTTGATAATATTCGTCCAAAAGCTTTGAAATTGGCTGCAGTATACCTGGCGGATCCACTCTGCAGGTTCTTCCAACGATGCTTTGATGAGATACGCGTGCCAGCAATGTGGAAGCAGGGCATCGTCACTCCCATAAATAAGGGAGGAAGTCGTATTGCCTCACGTCCTCA